TTGAAGAAAAAACTCCTCCTTGGCCCGCGGGGTGTGTGTGTGTGTGTGTGTGTGTGTGTGTATGTGTGTGTGGTGTGTGTGTGTGTGTGTGTGTGTGTGTGTGTGTGTGTGTGTGTGTGGTGTGTGTGTGAGTGAAACAAGATCGCCTGTCGCTGGTTTGTTTTTCAGTCTCTTGTAAAAAAGGACTCTCAAAAGGAAAAGTAGTATTCACTAAGCGATATTTATTCAATTTTTTACACATAGGCAGCCTGTAGGTTACAAGCGGATAGAAAGTTCTTCTTTTCATCACAAGCTATGGTGTATCTTAAAGGTTTTTTTTTTTTTTTTTTACAGCGTCTGTATTGTAGGAAAATAAAATACTATTGAAATCTCTACAGGAAGTCACTCTTTATTTCCATTACAAACGCCGGTGCAGCTTAAGAAAGTAAAATTACATCCGCTCTGTCTCTCTATACATCACAGAATCATCTGCTGCATCACCGCTGTGCTTAGGGAACATGACGCAACAGGTCTGAAAATGACTAGACACTTCCGGAGTATTTCCGGTAGGGTCATAAGGTCCGGATCGATGCCTTCCATAGTAAATATGCTGTATTTGAATATGTCATATTCAAAACCTTCTTCTTTGGGAGAGCAGATCTCATCGGACACAGGAACGCTGCGGGGCTGCAGAAGGAAATCCATCTTGCGTGTGTGACTTAGAAATTGTGACGGACTCCTCCCTCTCTGCTTTTTTATTCCCCTCCAACAGATGGAGCGCTTCCAGAGGTTTCCCCCTCCCTCTAAAAAACTTTTTTCCCAACAACAGGTGACACGCTTCCGGAGGTTTCCCCCTCCCTCTAAAAACTTTTTTTCCCCAACAACAGATGACGCGCTTCCGGGGGTTCACCCCTCCTTTCTCAGGGTGCAATTCGACACGGTTAGCAACAGATGGCGCGCTTCCGGGGTTCCCCCCTTTCTCAGGATATAATTCGTCATGCGGGGGTTTCCCACCCCCTTCTGCGGATGCGATTCGTCACGCTCATTACACGCTTCCGGGGGGAGGGGCGGGAGGTCAAAAGGTCGTGATTAGGGCCATCAATCACTTCGGATCAAATTTTGTCATAAGCTGTATGGGATTAACTCTCTTCTAGGGTCTGAAAAAGGACAAATCATGTGCAGAGAAACACCTTTGTTGATGTCAGAGGTCAAAGGAGAATGGGCAGACTGCTTCGAGCTAACAGAAGGTGGTAGTAACTCAAATAACCACTTAATGTTGAACCTTCAATCAAATGTCTACGGCAGCAGGAAACCATGTGTGCTGCTTCTCTCAATAAGAGCAAGAAACTGAGGCGTCACCAAAACTGCACAGTAGGAGGTTCCTGCTACAACTTTGAGATGGTCAGAAATTTGGTGTAAAGAAGATGAACGCATGATCCCAGCCTGCTTTGTTTAACCGTCTCAGGCTATAGTAATGGTGTGGGGGGATATTCCACACGCTTGGCATCCATGTCCATCCCTTTATGACCACAGCACTGCCTATCTTCTGACGGCTATTTCCAGCAGGATAAAAACCATGTCACAAAGCTCAAATTATCTCAAAGTGCTTTCTTGAACATGACAATGAGCTCGCTGTACCCAAACAGCTTCTACTGTCACCAGATTTAAATCCAGTAGAGTATTACTGGAACGGGAGATTCACATCATGGATGTACCAGCAAGGTGTGCCTAATGAAGGGGCCAGCAACTGTAAATGTTTACATCTATGAGAAAAGTCCTCAGATTCTTAGATTGAACAAGAACAAGATTAAATAAGCACCGAGATCTTTTCAATTTGAACTATTTTAAGGAGATTTGCATCGTCAATAGGAACCAAACTGGCGTTTGAACAAAAAGTAACAAACTGGTTTAATGTTTAAAAAAAAAATCAAAGGTCAATAAATCTTTATGATATTCCTAGTGTGTTTTTTCAATATGAAGACTTTTTACAAACTACCAAGATTACATCATCTTTGTAATCCAAGATTTTTGATTAGCCATGAGTCTCAGCATGACATTACCCGTTAACCCTTTGTCCACTGTGCGGCAGGATCTCTGAAAAGTTAGACAGTAAAAAAACTGAACATGAAGAAGAAATGTCAGTTAAATGTGTTCATGTGAGATAAGCAGAAATTACGCGCTTTGAAAAGCCACAAAGCTCAAGCGAAGGCCTCTTGTTGAAGACGTAATAACTTTTTACAACTTTAAGAAGATGATCTTAAAACTTGAAGGCAGTTTATTCTTGTTGGTGCATGTTAGGGGTGTGTTTTGTGTCTTTGTCATGTTGCTGTCATGTTAACTAAAAAAAAAATGCTTAAAAAATATTTCCCCAAATACTTTGTCAGAGTCACACAGAGCCGTTGACACATGCAGTGTATTTCAGTTCAGCACGCGGTCAACCATCAATATATTTCCAGTATGGAGCTGTGCCAGAATAAGTCCTGCAACCCGAATACTCACCTCAAAAGCTCTAATTACAATAAAATTTGTGCAGCTTAAATGGGATGCTGTGTCCTTCCATGCGTGTGCACACATATGGCAGTTGTTGTATTATTTAGTCACGTTTTACTCCCCCAGATTACAGCCACAGGCCGTTTGTACCAGCTCAGTACACTGGCAGGGACAGGGAGAGAGGACATAATGTAATGCTATTAATATTTAATTACAGATGATCTTTTTCACTGTAAAATTAAATAAAATCATCATATAACACATACTGTTGCAAACATCTTTTAGATATTTTCATTAACCAAAAACTAGTTTTACCTGTAGCTATAATTACTGTTTCGTACTTTGCCAAATTTCGTGCAACATTTGTGAACTTGCCAGCTGTAAATGTGCAGTTTCCAAAGCGATGTTTCGCACAAAATATTTTATTCAAATTAAGTTTTCTTGTCAGTGAGTCATTGCCATAAAAATTAAGACCTCCTCTGACATTGTTTAAACTGTTTCGTTCTTTTAGAATAAAAGTGTGTTTAAGGTTAACTCCCTCTGAAATGCTGCTTCTCAAACCTTTTCCACCTCACTGGAAAATAAAAGCAACCATCACATCTCAAAACTGAAAATGAAGCAGTCTGAGCACATGTGCTGCTGCAGCCTCTGGGTCAGCCGTCATTCAATCTTGTTGAACAGTAACTCAGAAATTAAATACATTTTTATGGGTGTGTTTTTTCCTTAAAGGAGCAGGTCGGTGTCTTATTCCTCTTTCATTTTCTTGTTTCATTGATTCTAGAAGTTTTACCAGAAACTCAGCTGAGTCTGGCAGACAGTCTGGACAGTTTAGTAACAGACTGCTAATTCTGTCCTCCAATTGGTTTTTAAAACTGAATGTTTAAGGAAATATAATCCTGGTGCCTTTAAAAAAAAAGGTTTCTTTCTTGCTTCCTGGGTGGGGGCCCAACTGTGGGCCAGTGTAACCAGAATAATCTGACCCAGGTCAGACTCTAAAAACTTTCATCACAAGGAATTTCTCTGTGAAGAATTTAAAAAAATTATCAATAACTTTGAGAATTTTCTGTGCATTTCACCTTAAAAAAATCACCTTAGTTTTACTTCACGTTTCACATCGGGGTCCTCTTGCACTGGGCCCCACAGCTTCTTTCCCCTGCACGGTTTTATTTTTACTTCCTCTTTTCAGTTTTTTCTAAATTTAATAGTTTTGTTAATATTCTGCACAAAGTTTACTGTAAAACCATGTCCACCTAAAATCAGCCATTCTGCTGTGCGGGCAATGATTTAAGGGTGTGCAAGAATGACAGAAAAGAGAAATTAGAAATAAGAAAAAACGTTTGTGTTCAGACATGTTGAAATGAAGTGAAAAGAAAGGAAAGGAAATGAAAACAGGGCAAGTTTAAACAGGAACATAGAAGCATAACAGGGGCCCATATCAAGGGTTTTTTCTTTGGTGCTAACCGAGCTCATGTTGGATTCTGTGCAGAGCTCTGCAAAGTCTCAGTCTTATTTCTGTATTTAATTATGTTATTTTCTAAAAAATAAATTTAAAAAAATGAATTGGTATATTTTTTAATTTGCGCTTTTGAAATGAGGAATGTGCTGTTTCATAAGAGAAGTTTTCTTCATTTACACTTTCTACAGAAAATCAAGCCACAGTAAACAACAGTACTGAAACCTGGAGAATAAATGAGGCTTACACCGTCAACAAACTTGCCCTGACTTATCTATTACAAACATTTACACAGTAAATACACAAATAAGTGACAAAGAAAATAAGCATTATATGACTGCTAAGAAATGAAAAAAATAAGGAACTCACAGAAAATCTACAAACTGTGCACAGTTATATTTACACTTCATTTACTTTCATGTAAATTGACTGGTGCTCACAGGCCTTGATTGTAAGTACCAAAAGAATTTAAATCTCTGGGTTTAGCTATTATGACTTGTGGAAATTCAATTTGAATTCATATTAAAGTGGCCATCAGTAAGCTACACCACATGTTACTACTACTCTCTGTGAGGCCATAAAATAGAGAGGAAGCAGATGTAAAGGACACAGTTTTAGTGCCTGTGGTTAATATTTGACTGTTAAAGTGAAAAAATACACCACAAAGAGGTTACTGCAGAGACCAGAGAAGTTGAAATCGAGCTAAATGCTTGTTTTGACACACATTTTGTTCATTTGACTTTTAAAATGTAATTTTAAAACTTAATGAGCAGTGCGTTCTCATTATCAACAAAATTATCTGTGCTTACCGCTGTTGAGGTTATTACTCGAGAAATAAATAAACATATTACACAGAACACCTTTCTTAGAAGTAATGCAGTAGTTTACTAAAAATTAATTTGTTACATTATTCATTATGTTACTTCATGTTACTCTGAAAAACGACCTGAAACAAATTCTCTCATAATTACTTTTTAACAATATAAACCTAAAGGCTTCAGCCCACATCCATCGCTGGTCCTTACAGAGTACAGAAAACATCCTCCCCAGTGTTTCTGTGTTGACTGAATGCTTAACCTCAACAGCTAATAATAAACTCAGATGTTGGAAGTTTAACAGTGTACGATCTCTGATTGGCTTCCATGTGTGCAGAGTCTATAGCAGGTATCGAGCAAGTTAGTGACATTAATGAACTGCTAAAGGCTTATGGTGCTTAAGAAACGTGTTGGTCCAGTTTTCACTGAAAACAGAAAAAGAGGTCGAAGTTAAAGCAAGAACTGAATTATGAAGAACAGAAGAAAATGTAAAAACACACAGTGTCTGCATCTAGTGAATTTATTCAGAAACGAATGAAAGTTATTTGACAAATTACATTTTTGCAGAAAGCATCTACACTCATTATGCAAAGAACACAGATGCACTTTTGATTTGTCATTAGTTTCAGTTTACTTCAGTTAATTCATCATGTTAGCTTATCGAGTTCCCAACCCAGTCCAGCCACAAAAGGCTCCAGTGAACACCTCACTAATGATGAGTCGGCTAAAAGCTTGAAGGGAAAAAAAAAAAAAGATGCTTTTGAAAATATAAAATATGCTTACATAACTCCTCCCACTTGCACTTGCACAACTCCTGCTAGTTTCTGTTTCTTAATATAAAATTATAAATATAAATATTTTATAGCATCATGTAGGAATATGGCATTAAACAAATAATTTTCAGAAGAGAATAAGGCCAAAAACTATTATTTAAACATTTGATGGTCTCAATAACAAATGTAAGCTATGACCAGTGTATGACCAATGCACTACTCCACTATACACTACTTTAGTGTTTACTGTAAAAAAGTTGAAATCAGCTTAGAAGTAAATGATTCTAGAAAATAGCTTCGTTTTCTAAAACATAATAAGAATCTACTAACCTTTTGTTGAGTTAATGTTTTCTCCAGAAAATAATCCTTTTTTCCTTTTACTGTTGGTTCCACCAAACGTTTTTTTTTTTTTTTTTTTTAAAGAAGTTTGAAAGAAATCTCTGTTGTTATTGGTCAGTTTTTCCTGCGTTGGATCACTGCTGCAAAATAATTTACAGTACAGACAAATTACAGCAGTGAATGTACACTCTCCCACAATCCTTTGCTTTGTGCAGTAAAATAATGTAAAAACATCTTAGAGTATCTTATACATACATATTCCTGTAAAAATACTGTTAAATTTACTAAAACCATTTACAGTGTACTATGGCCGAGTATTAAGGCCCCCCCCCCCCCAAAAAAAGAGAATCAAGTCAAAATTTCGAGATTAAAGTTGTTTCAAGACAAACTGCTATGCCCTCCACAACATGCCGTGTCTAGATGAATTAGTGAAACATCCTATCATGTCTGTGATGCAACAAACATCCTCTTTATTGCCTGTTTTAACCATCCTCATTATGGATAAACCTGCATCTGTCCATTACCAGACTTTTCATTTTGTTCAACTCCACTCTTTCAAGATGCAGCTGTCTGCACCAGTTTTTCTTTTCAGTGTCATTATACTGATCAACACATAGTGCAGAGTCTATAGCAGGTATCGTACAAGTTAGTGCCATTTTACTCAGATGGAGTTAACGAACTGCTGGTCCAGTTGTCACTGAAAACAAAAAAAGTAGTCGAAGTTTAAAGCAAGAACTGAATTATGAAGAACAGAGGAAAATGTAAAACACACAGTGGTCTGCATCTAGTGAATTTATTCAGAAATGAAGCAACAACACGGAAATGCTGGGTACATACATGTAATACATGTACATACATGTAATATGAGGCCCAGTAACTAATTTCAAAGAGATGTTTGGGACTTAAAAGAAAGGGTATAAATTCAGGGTGGTGTTAGTCGTATTATTATAATTATTATTATTATTAAGGGGTATTTCACCCCACACTGCGGGCAGGTGGGTGGGCTGAGTGGAAATCCAATTCTGTAAACACAAAAACTCAAGAACAAAGTGGTGCAGGATTTTGAAACTGATAGCAAAGGTGCTGCTACTGAAAATCTCAAAGGATTTCACATCTCTGAAGTTTACCAAAAATCTCGTGAACACAAGTTGATTTGTTTAAATACACCTTTGACAAATAACAGGCAATGAGGCATCATCACTGTTTGGTCATGTATGCTGTCATAACAATGGAAGTAAGCATTTGCTGTGATTAAGAGATCGTTTTTACAATAAAACTTAATAAATAAATAAATAAATTATGTTTGCTTCTGGTGACATAGATGTTTCATGGGTGACACAAGGCTGTTCCACGACTAAAGATTCTACTGTAAAATGTTGATAGAAAGCCAATCAGTTTAGAAGTAATCTAGAAAATAGCTTAGTTTTCTAGAACATAATAAGAACCTACTAACCTTTTGTTGAGTTAATGTTTTCTCCAGAAAACAATCCTTTTTTCCTTTTATCGCCAGTTCCACCAAACGGTTAAAAAAAAAAAAAAGTGTCACAACGGGACTGAACGGACTCACGCGCAGGCTCTAGGTCTTGAAAGCACAAGAGTCTTTATTATGATGCACCAGGTGATTATTTACAAAAGTGAGGGGAAAGCCGGGCTCCGGGGGTCCACACACGAACGGGAAAGACACGCACACTCTCCGTCCACTCCTCCTCACACTCCACGCACTCGGGTAACACAGGGGTAGGTCCAGGGAATCTGTACACAGAGACACGAATGGGTAGTTAGGTAAATCGCTATGAAACACTTCTGAAGTCATTGAGCTGGGGTTACACTGACGAGGGTCGGCAACGGTCCAGCGACGAGAAACACAGGGCTGCCGTCTTATAAAAGAGCTGGATCACTCGTGATGAGCCACAGGTGCGTGGGCCAAGGGCAGGAGCCCGCAGGTAAGCTCCGCCCAGGCAGAGGGAGGAGGGAAAGAGGGGAAAGGAGAGAGCAGGAAAAAATAAAAAAAGGAATACAAAACATATGTAGCCGTACTGAGCCGACCGGGTAGGCACAGGGACCCTGACAAAAAGGAAGTTTGAAAGAAATCGCTGTTGCTTTTGGTCAGTTTTTCCCAGTTGGATCACTGCTGCAAAAATAATTTACAGTATGGACAAATTACAGGGGTGAATGCACTTTCCAAAAATCCTTTGCTTTGTGCAGTAAAATTGTTTCAAGACAAACTGATATGCCCTCCACAACATGCTGTGTTTAGTTAGTAAAACATACGATCATGTCTGTGATGCAACAAACATTCTCTTTATTGTCTGAGAGTTTAACGATCCTCATTATCGATAAACTTGCATCTGTCTATTACCAGACTTTTCATTTTGTACAAATCCACTCTTCCAAGATGCATCTTTCTGCAGTTTTTCTTTTCAAAGTCTTTATACTGATCAGCACAATTATTGTATCTATTTATTTTATCGTATCTCATTTTAATTTTCTTTACGTATGCTATTAACATGTACAGCACTTTGTGAAACTCTGGTTTTATGTTAAAGTGCTTTAGAAATAAAGTTGGTATGGTATGGTATGGTATGTGCTAAAAGAGAAATAATTTCTTTTCTTGTTGGAAAAACGTACTATGAAGTAGGATTTCACTAACTCATCTAAACAAGGCATTTTGTAGACAGATGAGCAGCTGTGGCAGTTTGTCCTGAAACAACAAACCGAATTTCGATTGCTGGCTCTAATGCTCCAAATTACAGCAATTGAGCTGACAGAAAAGGAGCATAAAAACGAAAGTGAAACTTAAAAAAATTAAAAACAGACTGTAAATGTCAATGTTTGTTTTTATAAAATAATTCCATTTTGTCCAAATTCGTTTTGACTGTATTTCATCTTGCGCTGAGGGATCGTTTCAGGTGTGGCAATTCTTCATTTAAGGACTTTGGCTCCTCTTTCCATGCTCGGTAATAAATCTGGTCAATCTGCTGCGTTTTACGGACTAGGAGGAGGGAAATTAAAGCACGGAAATCGCAGAAGTTTCTGATCTAATTGGGAGAAAGAAGCGGGTTTTCGATTAGATTAGATGGAACTTTATTAATCACTGGGTGGGTTCCTCCAGGAAATTCCGTTTCCAGTAGCACCGACAGAAGTTGCATGTTACAGATACAATAAGGGGAATGATGGTAAGGATATAAAATAAATATACCATATATACACTTGTACATATATATAAATACAGAATATATCATATGGATACATAGGATTGCACATTTGAGTGAGTCTGTTGCACAGTCGAATATAAGAAAAAATATTGCAAATATTGCACAGTGTAAAAAAGCACTACAGCTTAGTTGTTCCCGCCCTCCTTTGTCCCCTGATGGCGTGGGGGAACAAAGGAGTTTTTAAGTCTGTTGGTTCTTGACTTTGGGAGAAGCAACCTGTCGCTGAATGGGCTCCTCTCAACAACAAACCGAGAGGTAAGCTGTTTATGTGCAATAATCCAAGCAGGCAGGAGCCACATGTTTTAAATGTAGCGTAGATTCTCTGCTGGGGGAAAACGTTTCATGTTCAAAGCTGTACACGACTAACACTGAAAAAAGCACCACAAGTTTGTGGTAGAAATGTAGAAATACTGCTGTACTTGATTCTCAGCTGCTGCTCAGTCTGTTCTACACCGCGGTGACTGCAGCTACTAGAACAAAGGACACCGAGAATGAACAATAACATTCATTTGCATAATAAATGAATATATATATATATATATATATATATATATATATATATATATATATATATATATATATATATATATATCACACTCACATGAATACACTATCAGAGATCTACACCAACTTTGGCAATACTTTAATTCACATGTACCTTACTGTAACTATTTCTGTTGTTTTGTTTCTGTTTTTTTTTTATATTGAAAAGGATTTATTCCAATATGAGGCCAAACATTGACTATTGAAAATGTTTATGATGAACTGCAAATTTACAATGATGCAATTGCAGAATTTGTCCTGGATAAAATATGTTTTATAAATGGACCCTTTTCTTTCCTTCTTTGTTTTACAGAGTGGAGACTTCTACCATTGATTTTATGTGCTGTCCCTGGGTGTGTTTGTGAAATCAGACAGCTGCAGTGATAATATAAGGGGTGTGTAACATTGTTTTCCTTTCTATATCAGTCAGCCTTCACCAGTACCAGTTTGGGGTTTCCGTGCAGTAGTCAAAGGAGCTTGGAAAGAAAAGCGTCTGAACTTCTTTAAGTTGCTTGAAGACGTTTCACCTCTCATCCGAGAAGCTTCTTCAGTTCTAAGGTCAAAGGGTGGAGAGTCCCAGATTTAAACCCAGTGGGAGTTTCCCCCCAAAGAGGGACAAAGGACAAGGGACGCGACGAAGGCTGTCCAAATTCGTAGACTTCTCCACATGTAGCCAGCACATGCGTCCTCCTTCCCTAGATTTGAAGGATGGATCAGGGGTATCTCTCATGTCCCACCATATCCCAGCCGATTCCAGTTTTCCAACAATGGCGACAGCTATTACTCTTATTACTCTTTCTCAGTCACAAAATAAACTTTTAAGATATTTTCAGGCAACAATGTAGCTGTGTAAACTTCAAATATCTGCTTGGTTTATCAAGACATCACATATTTGTTAAAGTGCCTCTGATGTTTTTGGAGACGTGTGTTACCACCAGCTAGCCGGGGTTCAAGGCTTACTAAAGCCGGCGAGAATAGTGGACTAGTTTTCAGACCCCCACGGTCTTTCGCTTCTCAGGTTGAACGTGATTTATGAGTCATTCAGATAACTTAAAAACTTTATTGTTTGGCTTTTTTCAGTGTTTTATTTGATCCTGAGTAAATTGGTTTGGCTGAGACTAAAGTTAGAGTTTTCACACAGCTGAATAAACGTCAAAAAGAAAACTGATTAATCAGAAGTGTGAGATGGTAGAGAATTTACTCCAATGTCCTGTTATAGTTTAGATAGCAAGGAGCAGACAGCTGAGTTTTTTAAACTTCACAGAGACAGCGGTGATGCAAATCTGAATGCTAGACCATCCCATTTCATAGCCTCGAACTTCCAGCCTTTTCGGTCTTCGAGGACCAAGCCCACATAGACCGGGAAGGCTGGGTCCTCCGAAGGATGCAGCATAGGTTTTGGCCTCACTTCGAGGCAACTGGTCACAGTAGATGGCCGCCCCGCCCTGAGCCTGGTTTCTTCCTGTTAAAAGGGAGTTTTTCCTTACCACTGTCACCAAAGCGCTTGCTCACAGAGGGTCATATGATTGCTGGGTTTTTCTCCATTTGTATTTTTATTATTGTAGGGACTACCTTACAATATAGAGTGCCCCGAGGTGACGGCTATTTTGATTGATATTAATAAAGTTGAATTGAATACAGGTTGATTATTTACACTGTTGAATTCACAAAGGTCAAACCTCTAAATCAGCTAAATAAAATTCATAAATCCCACAAAACCACAACAAAACAAACAAACAAAACGAGTGATGGACTAGACAAATGCCAGTAGTTGCATATTTGCTCAGTTGGTGAGACCGACTATGAGTCAACACTATAGCCAAAAACTGAGGTATCGCTGTATGTGTTACATTCTTATCTCCAATGACTGTTATGTTTGTTCAGATCAGCAGCAAAAATGGATGAGGAGAAAAGGAAGCGATCTACATTCAGACAGTCATCCAGTGAGACTGAAGCCAGGTAAAAATGACCCGTATAGGACACACACACACACACACACACACACACAGGGCGAGAGAGAGAGGGGGAGAGAGAGAGAGAGAGAGAGAGAGAGAGAGAGAGAACAGTGTCACTAACAAAAATTAGTTCTTACATTGTCTGTTCTTCTTTGTTATTTCACATGTTTAACTTTGGTCATTTTGGTCTTCAGTAATTTAATCTTAATTAAGAGAAACAGTCTGAAAAAGCATCAGTCCTTAAAATTCTGATCAAGATTTTTTTAATTATTATTGTGTTGTGTAAGACAGATGTTGTTTATTGTGTTTTGAGAAATAGTCAGTTTGCTGTTGGGTCATGCTGTTAAAGCTGATTAACCCTCTCAAGGCAGGCGTTGCCGATTTGCAACAGTTAAAAACTAACAACCTGATTACCCCACATACATATTTTATGGGTTTTTTTAACTTTTTTTTAACTCAGAAGTACCACTGCAGGACTTGGTTGTGCATTTGCAACAAAAACTTAATTTGAGCCTGAGAGGGTTAAGAGAGCTTATAAAACAGACAATCCTATTTAAAGTTGAAGTTTCAGTAAGAGGAGAAAAATAAAGTGATAAAAAAACATCTCTCCTTCAACTGAAATGTCTTGTTATTCCTTACTGCTGAAATTGATGCTAAACTGTTTTCTGAAAAGTTACTCTAAGTAAGATCGTAAATGTTCCATTTGTGCTATTATATTGAAAGTCCTGACAAACAAAACTAATTAAGTAATGTCAATGTCAGTCCGTAAATAGATTATTCTCTGCCTAGTTCACAGTCTACGGCGTCTAGATCTGCAGCTCCCAGGAAGATTTCTTTAAAGAGTGACAGTAACTTCTAACAAGTTTTGATCTCATAAAACTTTCTTTCCCTCTAGTTCACAGATGAGTACTGCTCCTAGCAAGATGTCCCTCAGGAGCAACAGATCCAAGTTCGAGCCAGTCAACTTTAAAGATGAAAGGTTAAAACAGAAATCCTAAATTTTGAACTGTGGTTTGAAATAGTTGAGTTTTGAACCATTTGTGACAATTTGTGAACATGGGTCTTTCTATCATAATTATAGTCATGAACATAGTCAGGGCATTTGTCCCTGTGAGGCAGTTAAAAGCAAACCTTAAGGATCTCCAGCAGTAGTACCAGGTGATCAGAAGTGATTCAAATTGGGTAACCCAGGTGGGAGAGCAGTTTGTGAAGGCCATGGATCGGGGACTTTTGGAGGCAAGTTCTGGCAAACGATGATGACTGAGGAAGGACAAGTAGGGGATGAGTGTTAATCATGTACCCAGGCAGCAGGGTTTGATCATATTACCTCCAAGATTCTGAAGGTTTTGAACACTGATGGTCTGCTGACACAGTGCTTCTGACTGACTTAATGCAGAATTGCCTGTTCAAATGACCTGTGTGCTGGAGTATGTGTATCCTGCTTTAAAAAAAGAGTATTTGGACTACAGTTACTCAGCTACCGCACTGCAAAACCGTATTTTAAAAGGCTTGAAGAGATTAAAAAGCTTCTATACATGAAGCTCCAATCAATTACCTAACCTCAGGTCCACCAGGGATCGTGTCTTAGACTACCATGACCTGGATGACTGAGAATCTATGCAGACAACTTATTGTTATGGAAAAAAAGAGAAAAAATATCCATTATTGTGCTATAGTAATTAAATTAAGGTCTAATTTGTAAACCCTCCTACAGACCAGTAACTGAGAAGCCATCCACCTGTCCAGTTTGCAAAGATGTTATGAAAAATCCAGTTCAGCTCAGCTGTGAACACTGGTGCTGCAAACTGTGTCTCAGCTCAGACCTGGATGAGTCTGTGTCACCAGCAGACTGTCCTTGTCCTCAGTGTGGGAAGAAATCCAAAAAAACATTAAAACAAGAGAAAGACAAGGAGGGAGACACAGGTAAGCTTACATACTTAAGATCACTACTATCTCTACTACTGCAAAAAAAGAAAAAAAAAACTTGCTACAGACAAGAGTGAGTCAGTGTTGGAATCATTTATTAAATTTAACTTTTAATGATAAAGTTAAGTTTGTTAGGGAGCTTAAAAGCAGTTATATTCTGAAAACATGCATTAAGTGCAAGAGTATCAGGGTTTTGCTAAGTTGGGTGCATTTATAAAGAACTTTTATACCTTATTGCTCATTTAAAGCAATCTGCAAACCAGTACTTAAAATGAAAAATGGAAGTCCCCAAATCAGGTCAGGAATTTCTTATCCTGCATTTTTCTTTGACCAAATTAAAGCGATCTGGTATTAACCACCTGAGCATCTTTGATGTGTTTCACTGCATTACAGGTAAAATTCATCTTTTAGAGGCAAAGAAGAAATTAAAAGAAGCAATGAAAGAGAAATATTCCTCAGTCTCTGAAGGTAATGGTGACAAGCCGAGTTCACTGAACAACATCTACACAGAGCTTCACATAACCACTGGAGAGAGTGAAAGGTCACGTGAAGAGCATGAAGTCAGGCTGCTCGAACATAAACGGATAAGACACACTTCAGAACAGCAAATAATCAACCTAAATGATGTGTTGAAACCGTTGCCTGATCAAGACAAACCTCACAGAACAGTTGTGACGAAGGGCGTCGCAGGAATTGGCAAATCATTTTCTGTGCAGAAATTCATTCTTGACTGGGCCGAAGAGAAGGCAAACCAGGATCTTGACTTTGTTTTCAGTCTTGCTTTCAGAGAGCTGAATTTGATTACAGGTGAGAAAAGCCTACATGAGCTCCTGACTTTATTTCATCCCACACTGTCTGAACTCAAAGATTCAGTGGATTATACCAAAACCAAGACTGTCCTGATCCTGGACGGTCTGGATGAAAGCAGGTTTCAGCTGGACTTTGAAGGCTTCAAGACTATAACATCTGTTAAGGAAGTAACACCTGTGAGTAATCTCCTAGCAAACATCATCCAGGGTAACCTTCTTCCTGATGCAAACCTCTGGATTACTTCCCGTCCAGCAGCAGCCAATCAGATCCCTGCTGAGCATGTTGACATGGTGACAGAGATAAGAGGTTTCAATGATCCTCAAAAAGCTGAATACTTCAGGAGGAGATTTAATCATGATCCAGATCTTGCTGACAGGATCATTAAACATATTCAGTCTTCACAGAGTCTCGACAGCATGTGTCAGATCCCGATCTTCTGCTGGATTTCTGCAGTGTTATTCCAGGAAGTCTTTGGAGGAGATGTTGAAACTGCAATTCCTCAAACTCTTACAGAGATGATGTCACACTTCCTGTTTGCACAAACAAAGCGTAGAAACAGAAAATATGACAAGAAGGTTGAGACAAACAAAGAGAAGCTTCTGAAAACACAGAGGAAATTTCTTCTGAAACTCGGCAAGCTTGCATTTGAGCAGCTGCTGAAGAACAACCTCATCTTCTATGAGGAAGACCTGGAAGACTTTGGCATTGACATTAAAGAAGCATCCATGTACTCTGGATTTTGCACCACAGTACTTCGTGAAGAAGAAATCATTTCCCAGAAAAAGGTCTTCTTCTTTGTACATCTAACTCTGCAGGAGTTCTTTGCAGCTCTCCACATCTATGACTGTTTCATAAATAATGATACCACAGAGCTCAGCAGCTTCCTCGATCTAAAGAGCCAAGAACATACGTTACTTGATCTTTTAAAGATGATGGTTGACAAAGTGCTGGAGAAGAAAAATGGCCACCTGGACTTCTTCCTGAGATTCCTTCTTGGCCTCCTGGTTGAACCAAATCGCAGAGTCCTTCATGGTCTGCTGCCTTCACCAGATCAAAGTCAAGATACTGAAAAGAAAATCTTGACTTACCTCAAGTCTATGCGAAGGAAGAACCTCTCTCCAGACAGCTGCATCAACCTTTTCCAGACTATGGTCGAGATGAGAGGTCACAAAGTCAAAGATGAGATTCAGGAATATCTCGCACTGTCAGATCGTTCAAAAACAGAGTTGACTCCCCTGCACTGCTCTGCACTGGCCTACATGCTGCAGGTATCGAAGAATGATCTGGAAGTCTTGGACTTGAAGAGTTACAACACATCAGAGGAGGGCAGACGGAGGCTGATACCAGCAGTGAGGAGCAGCGGAAAAGCCTTGTAAGTTTTATTTCATTGTTATTTGTTCATCTTTAAAGCTGAATCAACAATACTGTTGAACAGGATATAATACAAAAAGAAAGGTACAAATCCTCTCTGCCCCCAGTGGCAATTACATACTTATTCTTCATTTCTATTTAAATAAAAAACCTTATTACCCCTTTTAGACTAGCAGACTGTAAAGTGACTGAAGAGTGGGTTGAGCATCTGGCCTTTGGTCTCACCTTCCCCTTCTCACCTCTACGACATCTGGACCTGAGCAACAATGACCTGAAAGATTCAGGAGTAGAGCTGCTGTGTAAAGGACTGTCGAATCAGTGCTGCAGACTGAAAACTTTGAGGTACATGTTTAAAATACCGTGCCATTTTACAAATAGATGGACAACCCACCAAACCAGCTGCAAGTTACAACTCAACTCTGTCCACAGAAAATGTTCTTTGGACAGTTTAAGGTTTTTCTGTCTAAATTTTTGAAAACCAACATCTGTTAATGTAAAATCTTTTTATTTATTTTGTTTTGAGAAATACTATAACCCCATCTCAATCCACATAATTTTCTTGTGCTTGTAATTTATGCTTTCAATTTTACTACTGCTGATGTAGTTCTAAAATAACTTTTAAAACCTGCATTGATATATACCAAACATTGTTTTCTCAGGTTATCTGGTTGTCTGGTGACAGAAAAAGGCTGTGGGTTTTTGGCCACATCCATTAAGGCTAATCCTTCTCATCTCAAAGAGCTGGACCTGAGCTATAACCATCCAGGAGGAGTTGGGAAAAAGAAGCTCTCTGAGCTGAAGGATGATCCAAAATACAACCTCAGCCAACTCAAGTAATTTTAATTCTGGCCCTGTGTCATCCACTGTTTCAGAAACAGCCCCCAAATACCAAAGAGAAAAAAGGAAATCTCGGAACCTATGTTTGTATGGCTCGTTAATGTAGGTGGGCAGGTTAGCGGGTCAAACTGGAAATTTATTTTTGACCCTTAAACATTGTGTTTTTAAAAGAAATATTGCTCAGAAACAACACGCACACACTGCTCACTATTTTATCTTTGACATCTGTATCTACCTTATAAAGACACATATGCTCATAATTGCCTCTTGTGGCTCACTGGGAAAAAAGGCAAGCAGCTTATTAGAACTTGTGGTTTTTGTGGTTTAACACCTGTCAGTGCACAGCTATTTCACTGACCTTTCTCATAAGCGTTCCAGATCATGATCAAAGAGTGCCATCTTTTTGATTTTCTACAGAACTAAATATAATACTATTGAGCTATAGCAAAACTGCATGTTTTTTTATTATTATTATTATTATTATTATTATTATTATTATTATTATTAATGTCAAAAGCAACAATGAAAACATTTTTGTTTTAGGCTATAAATGGCATCTATAAATTTTGGCTATTGCTAATATGCTTCATCTAATTCTCAACTATATTTTTTCAGTTTTGAACATGGTGGACATCACCGGATGAAACCAGGATTCAAGAAATGTGAGTACCTGTGAAAATGCTTTTGACTTAAAAGCTGTGATCAAGTAAGAAAGTGCAAACAGGATATTTATTTACTTAATAACCAATAATATCATACCACTCAGAAGTTTGAAATTAGTCATCTATGTTTTCTCTATTTTGTAGATTATTAAAAAAAAGTTCCTACCATCAACATTTTATGGATATAAAAAATAAACAAAAAAACAAAAAAAATAGGAGGTTTTCTACTTCATTGTTTGCATCACAGTTTTTGCACAGTTTAAAAAAATCTACATGCCTAATAAGCTTGTAGGAGTACCCATACTCCTCTGATTGAAACTAATTTTATATTTCATTTAACTGCTAATCCTTGAAATTGAAGTAAATGTGACCCTCACAGAAATGTAAAACTGTATAATTTCTTTAATAAATTTATGAATAAATATAATAATGTGTTCATCATTTGCCTGACTGGGTTTTCTTTATGTAAATTAGATCATTTACCAGAAAATAAAAATAATAAAAATAGAAAGATTGAATTATTAATATTAATTACTCTGGTCAGGTCTGAACTGTTTAGGATTTACCTGACAAAGGTACATAAGAAAATGCAAATGTCCAGTGGCTTTGGGCATTAGCGGGTTTTCAACTTGTTGCGTTCATGTCTGAATGTTACCTGTGCTACTTGCACAGGTAACATTCAGACACGAAACCTGTCACTGTGACTGTTTACTGATGAGTTCAAGAAATGTAGAAGAGAAAAGAAAAGAATATTCTAACCCACATCCCCTAAAAGTGAAGGTGTGAAATTAAATTTTTTGAAAACCGCTTTAGATGATTGACCTTAGAAATCAGTGCTATTTGTGAATAAAGTGTTTTCTTACCTCCAGATGCCTGCGAGCTCAGTCTGAACTCCAGCACAGCTCACAAGAACCTGCTGCTCTCTGAAGACAAAAGAAAAGTGACCTGGGTGGAGGAGGAGCAGGCTTATCCTGATCATACAGAGAGGTTTGATTGCTGTCAGCAGGTTCTGTGTAAACAGGGACTAAAAGGACGCTGTTACTTTGAGTTGGAGGTGTCAGAGCCCTTCTGCGTTGGGTTAACATACAGAAACATTGGCAGGAAAGGGGATGTTGATGCCTGCAAGCTGGGACAAAACAACAAGTCTTGGTGTCTGATTTGCTCTGATGATGGTTGTTTTGTTCAGCACAACAAAGAGAAGGTCTGTGTATCTTCTCAGTGTTTGCGCTCCAGTCGTGTCGGGGTGTATCTGGATTCGGAGGACAAAATTTTGTCCTTTTACAGAATTTCCTCTGGCAGTCTCG